ACATAACTTTTATTTTAGCATTAATAATGTCGAACAAGAAATGAAATTACATTTTCACTCGATCCGTGGCGTTGAATCCATTATTATTATGTGCCTTTCTCTCTGTGTGTAAAAATTCCCAAGAATATGTCAGCATGTGTGTCAACGATAAGGAATATGGCACCAATTCTTAATTCCATCACAAACCAATTCACACCAAAATACATTTCACAGTTATTTTGCAATACGATTTGGCTTCTCCCTTTTTCACACACACACATAACAATATTCTCGCATTCAAATGCATTTCGCAAATATAAACACTTTCGCAGTTTTCTAATCTGATTGACATGGATTCGATGCCATTTCTATTGGCACTATCCATACAAATCGATTCAATAGCGTGGAAAATTGAGTGGAAATATCAATGCAATGTCGTCGCATCGATGTTTTTTCGCAAATAACGAGATGCACAACTTTGTTGGCGAAGATGCAGAAAAGAAAAGAAAACCGGGAGAGAAGCGGCAATGGCAGATGCAGCAATGACATCCACTAAGTATAATAGTCAAGGCAAAAAGAATGCGAAAAAAATACAGAGAAAAAACATGCTTAAGAAAGTGTTGTAAGCGAATTGCAAGGCGCACACACACATACACGATCACACTATGGAATCATCGATATCGTTTAGTTGGATTTACATACACAAGCTGATTTCCATTTCTTTCTGTACTCCAACCCTCACAAGATGCCAACAGAAAATGCTTTTACATTTCTATCACTTTGATGCAACGTATCTGCAGTCAGCAACGGGCAACTCAATCGCTTCAAAAGCTTCAAGCGACGCCAGAAATGGATTCAGTTTTGATTTCAAGTTCTAAACAGCTTGAACGGATTTATTAAAACCCATAATCAAAAGACTTGTAAAGTTCATTCAGTGAGAAAAGATTAATATTGTCATTTAAATCCAATAAACAAGAGAAACCTCTTTGTTATTCATTCTCAGTCGGAGAATCTCAGAGATGAGAAAAATCTATTTAAAAATCATTTCATACGCATCTTCAAAGGCTTCACGTATCTTCCGCCCAACCTGAGCCGCTTTATATTGCTTCGGTTTGCTTTGTAGATTTCTTACCACCCTTTGCTTCTGTTGCCAATCACAGTTGATTCGCAGTATGCTTGATTGGTTTCTTAATGCAGTTCATCCGTTATCTTATTGCTTGTTTCGATGGCAATAACAAGCGAGAAAAACACAATTGAATCGTATCTCGCATCGTTTGATTGCAGCAACAGCAGCAGCAGCAGCATAATTTAATCTAATTTTTATGTCGGAATTACAACGGAGGTCGTCAAGTAAATTGATTTGAAAATAGTTAATCATGCCAGCGAATAAAATCTCTTTTGATTTTATGATGTAATTGACAAGATAAGCTGAAATGAATCGACCCTCAAACGATTAATGCCGTTTTTTTTTCTTCGTCGTTTTCCAACCAATGTAATGGTTACTAAACGGCGACTGTAATTCAATCAGATAAATTTTGGTGGCAAAAAATTTATGCACTTACTTGCCCCATCTATTAAAGAGCGGGTGTGTGTGACGTAGTGTATTTTCATAAAGTGGCAAAGTCATGTTAAGCACATTTTCGCTGTGTCATTCACTTATATATTCGTAATTCCTTCAAATTTTATCGGTGGCATCGTTGAGCATCAAGTGCATATCGTTGTACTCTATTTTTGGCTCACACACACAATGTGATCTCATCCGAAATGTATGTGATGGAAGTGAGTTTGTTTCGTTTTTTGGTTTTGGTTTTGGCTTTCGTTTTGTGTATAGTATTTGCTGTGCTGGTGTCATTCAACGGATGAGTGTTGCGACTGCACCAACGCTTGCAAATGGACTCAATTTGTGGATGGGACTTGATTGTGTATAACGTACTCTAATCTGTTGCGATAAGTGAACAAACGTGTTAATAGTGGAGCTTGTTTCGAAATCCATGGTATTCGCCCGGTTCAGCAAAAAAGCGAAACCATTCGAGTTTTTTTGGCTGCGGTTGAAGTCATTTTCGGTCTTAGAAAATTTTCACTTTCCAATTAGACGTTTGATCATCATTTTGGTGGCCGCATCGTCTCTGCACCGCAACATTTTGGGGTACTTCTCGATGAAACTGTCTTTCTGCTTCGCAAAATGAAGAAACTTCACTTTAGCACCGTCTGCACCATTGCTTCGTTCAACGAGCTGTGTGATGTGCTGGCGGGCGCCAAATGTGCACACTGCACATTCATAGATTGTTATCACTTTAAAAGCATTTTTTTCGTCTCTCTCTCTCGCTCTATCCCACTTTCTCCCTGTTTACATTTATGGCGATTTGCAAGAATATGCAACTAAACGGATCCATTTCCATTGTCCAAACATTTTATTATCAGTATTTCGCAGTTGTTCACACCATGCGCTGCTACCACTATTCATCTAGTCTGTAGTGTGTTTGCCAATGTTTGGTCGCATGTTTTCGCAACACATTGGCCACGGTCAAAATTTTAATTATAAACAAAGCGACACAGACACACAACGAAAAATACAGCGACATCCATTCGTTAAATTTTTTTTTTCAGTTTTTTCCACCATCGTTTTTTCTCGCCATCAACAGAGGGAGAGAGAAAAACGACGGTCTCTTTTTTCCAAACAACATTTTCGTTCTTCGTTTCTCACTTTTCCAGTTTCGTTTCCATTTTTTCCCGTTTAATAGAACCCAAGTGGATTAGATCGCATGACTTTAATATACTTTTAAATATTTTGCATCGTTGCAGAAAAAAAAACTGAAAAAAGCACAGAGAGCAAAGCCATCGTTGCATGTTTGGTGTTGTTCGTCTTTACTGTTCCGTTTGTTTATTTGGTAAGCATTTTGTTAGTTAGTATTTGCATTTTGTGAATGCAAACAAAGTGAAAACCATTGATAAGGGAGAGAACGTACCAAAATTTATCTATGTATGTACGGCATACGGAACGCCAGCTCGAATAGACGTGATATTTGATACAAATAGAAAATCTATTTGTTCTGCTACAGAATAAATAAGCTTTCGAAAAACAATTGCTTTGGCCTTCGCATTCTTTTTTTTCCCGATTCGTTTGGCTGTTGTTATTCATTCGCTATTTGAGTCGTTTGCATTTGTGCAGGACACATTTTTCTTTTCCTGGATTTTATCTTTTTGGACATTTGCAAACATAGTTGCCATTCGCTTTTAGCTTATGAAATGGAACAAAGCTATGTTTTCCAATGGAATTTTTTCAATTGCACGAAGGAGGAGAAAATGTAATGTAAATGCACTGTAAATATACGATTTTCGTTCGATACAATAAGTAGCGATAAGTACAAATAAAACAAGGGACTTTTGCTGGCGAATCATGTTCACTTTATTCGATGAAATGGGCAAAATAAATTGCGTCACAGTTTCACAGTAGCGGCGATGGTGCCTATTTCATTTTGGCATTCATATCTAAATATGACTACTGATAAACCACAAGATGAATCACCTGTCATTTTATCATTTACGACAAGCTCAATTGTGCCCACGGTTTACAGAGAAAAAAACAATTTTAGAAAATATATTCGTAGGCGACTTTTGTCGACAAAATCATTATCAATTAGATTCCATTTGAGTTTTCTGCATAGAAAGTAAATTTATAGGCCAATTTCAGTGGGACATATTGCCTTCGATTCAGTGATGCTTTGGGTTCATTCATATCAAATTACAAAGATTGGTTCGGACAACAACAAAAAAGTATTCATAGAGTAACACTTGAAACGTATCAGGTTTCTTTTTCAACCTCTCATCCCGGATCAAGTTTTTTCTTCTTCAAAGAAGTATGCGAATTTATACGTATCGTTTTTTTAACTCAGGACTCTGCCTTTTTTTATGGGGCTTCGCACACAAAATATTGGAAATTCGTGTTCGATTGGAAAATGTATGGTTGGCTCATGCCAATATAGAGAGATGTGAGTGGGAGAAATACCGTATTATATTTCATTTAATGACTTATTTTCCACAAATCAAAAATAATTAGCTGATGATGGCAACATTTTTCCTCGAAATGTTCTTGACAAATTATTCCCAGAAAAGTAACAAAAAATTTGTTTTCAAAGCAATAAAAATCGTCAGTTTTCAACACGAATGAGTCACCTCAGTCTTTCAAAATGACTTACTTCAATTTGTATCACTAGAAAAGTATAAATTGGCTTTAAAAGTGTCAAAGGATTGTTTTGGCCAGTTATCATACCTCTCCATACAAAGTTCGGAGTGTGCGGAAAAGTAAAATGTCCTTAAAGATTACCTCAAAAATTTCTTTCAGTCGTGTTGTTACTTGATCTCTGATAACATATGAATAGATAGCGTGGTTTTTGGGACTGTACATATGTGATGGAGTACCATGAAGTTTATGCTACCTGAGCACAGTATTTTCATTTGATCAGACTGACCCGAATAATGTCAAGTTTAATAGCTGTGCGTATCTTTGTGTTGATATTATTTTGGGTTATGCTTCTCACCAAGTTCCCTCAATTTCGTTTCGTGTTCATGTTCAACCGAATGCTTTTATCACTTTCGGCGTTATCAACAACAAATACAAATTCAACACATGCTATTAGAATTCAGTATTTGGTGAAACAAAATATTTACCTTTTAATAACGTTCACAATCGAATCTGAAAACAAACACCTGATAAATGGCTACAACATTTATCCAAATGAGTTACGCAACGCAAAAAGTCATCATTTGAGTAGCATTGACGCTCATTTTGGCTATGCGATAATGTAATAAAACAAGTCATTGCATTTACATGGTGAAATTCATAAATTCATACGTGTGCGTCACACACATACATCAAACAAATTAGAGAATGCACGTAAAAAAACACCATTACCAGACAGCACACGCAATCGTCTCATTTTTCACACGTTGAAAAAACGGCGAGCGCACAGAAACTGAACAAAACGAAACCAAAAGAAAAACATAATGGAAAAATTACATGAAAATGTATTTTTATTAGGTTAGAAACACACGACGTGAATTAGAGAGTAGGGTGATTTTTTTCACCGATCTCCACCACTTATACCAAGGTCGGATTTGTGTATTGAAGAAAACGGCAAATGTCAAAAAGTAAATGGAAATCCAAAGAGCAGCGGCCAGGCATAAAGCAATCAAGTACCACAATGGAAGCGCGTCTTTGATGAAATTGTCACTGTAAATATGATGAATAGCCTGCAGCAGTAGAACAATCATTGATAATGTGATGACGTTCATCGTGAGAAACAAACAGAAATCATGCAATATATATCGACGACGGCCATTGTGTCTCATCCAGATTCCAATTGACTGAAATAATCCATATCGTAGTTTTTCGTCACATTCAAATTCAAACCGACATAGTTCACATTGTTTCGATCCAATACGATTCAACCACTTTTCGAGACATTGTCGATGCACTTTGGCCATCGTTCCTTTGCACGAGCACGGCTGAATCAAACTACTGTCATCGTACTTTGTACCATAGCACAGTCTACAAAACAGTTGGTCTTCCTTCGACTCGTCGTCGCCTGAATCGGAAATTGATGCCTCATCCGAATCCACACGAGACAACACTTCTTCCACTCGTTCAATGGTTTCGTCATTTGTAACCATTTTACTATTTTGAAATTTCACTCAAACAATTTTGCGATTCAGTTTTGAAATGTGAATGCAATGTTTACTACGTTCATTCGCCCTGGTGTGTGTGTGTGTGTATTGATCAAGCACCGGTTCGGACATAGAAATATGTTTACCTAGATGTTCTATACTGTATAAATATGCAAAGCATAGACGCATACGGACGACCGTGCGACGGACGTATCACCAGTGCCATCGTTGTTTACTGTATACTGTATTCATACACACACGTACGCGTGTGTCTCGCAATGCACGATCGCCCGTTGATACGTTCGTCGCACCTTCGTCCGTACGCGTCTATGCTTTGCATGTTTATCTTGCATATTTCTATATCCGAACCGATGCTTGGTATTGATTTGCATTTCCCCACCCGGACTATCCATTCGATTCGGTTGCAGGTGATAGTCCTATCTTATAAATAATGCGACAACATGCATATGAATATGGCGGAGTTAGGTCGCCGAACCCCGTGCCGAACCACACCACTGAAAATCAATTTTGCATATTTTTTCTGTTCACATGAAATGGCTACAACAACGAACGAATAGAAAAAAAACTGTTTCTATCAAATGAAATTTATTGAAGCGCTTCTCTCGACTTTTGTGAATTCAAAAAAATAACACGGTCGGAATATGCCATAGATTATGAGTTTTCAGTCATTTTTCCAAAGCAATGATTGATTTTACCACACACCGATAAAAAATGCGCTGTTCACGATTCAATTCATATTCATCGCACTGGGTAACCTTAGCCAAAGGTTTTCTACTTTCGACGTTGCTCATTGTACGCGTTGGATTTATATGAATCGAACGGGTTTTTTTTCGGGATACATCAACTGCCATGACTTTGCAAAAGGAACGCGCGATAGCAATGCGATCGATATGGCAAACTGCACACTATATCCTTATGGAAATATGTCATAATGCTTGAGAAATCAAAATATTGGCGTTTTTACATTTTGAATGTGTGTGTATGCGCGAGCTCTCACGAGCGCTCGATACGTCACGAACTCTTCCCGCTTCTGTTCAACATTGCCAGCGTGGCAAATGATTTTTCTACACGCAATGCAGTCGATTTTTCTTCGTCATTTTCACCCAGGCGATGTAACTCTTCTTCTTTTTTTCCGTTCCTATTCAATTAATTCGAATGGGGTGTCAACGGCTTTTGTTTGTGTGTCATTAAGATAAACGGTAGCGACAGTGGAACACAAACTGATTTTTATCGTACAGTTTCTTTCTTTCTCGCTCTCTTTGTTGATTCATTTGACGCGTCTAACTAGAACGAAATTATTCTGCATACATTTTGCAATGAACGCGTACGCGTGCATTGCAATCGTGCTAAAGATGAATAACATCGATTATAAATATTTCATTGGAATGAGCTAAACCGTTTACCTGACTGAAACCAATTCGTTTTACGATTGCTTTAGCTGATTTCTCGAAGCCGCACGATTTGTACATTTTCTACAAGTTATTATCGCTTCGCCAAGCCAAAATGTGATTATTACATTTATTCCATGAATTATATTCGTAGAGAGCACTCACCTATTTTTTTCTCTATCGGAATTCACCTGCTCCTGAACCATGAAAACTAATGTACAAATTTCACATCAGGAATTTTTCATTAATTACCGATACTGGCTAAGTGTAGAAAATCATTTTCACGCTGCCTCGAGACACATAAAAATAAATCTAAATGAAACCGAAGGATTTTTCTCTCTCTGGTCGCCCATAAATTGGGTCATGTGCGAAGTTTTCGTTTAGCTGCAAACAAAATTACACAAAGAAAAAGCTTTTTCCATAGAAATCATCACATAAATCCGATTTCACCAACAACTCAATTATCGACGAGAATCAGCGTTATTTCAGTACTTTCCGCCACACCATAGTGGATTCTTTTAATAGAGGACACCTTTTAACGGAATTAACTTTTTCCGCAATTTTTAGCAACTTTTAATCTGGATCATCTCAACTCACACAAAGTATTCATACGTATATAAAATGTCATCAGCTCACCGTAGTATTATCTTAAAAATCAGATTGCTAAAAGCAGACAAGCAGCATTAATACGTCGAAAAGAATGTTGAAGTTGAATCAAATGCGTCCGTCGTCTTTAAACTTTTTCTATGTTACCTTTCGTCCCGCCAAGCATAACGATTTTCGCTTTTAGCTCGCTTTAATCATCGCGTGAGAAAGATAAATTTTCTTTCATCAGTGCCGCGAAAGAATGTGCCATGCAAAAGTGTAGACAGAGATGATTCAGGTACAAAGTGTGTTGCTGGGATTTCGAAAGTACTGAATTTTGTCAGAGATCAAATCGGACAAGTTTCAATAATGAAATAAGAGGATGAAGCTCAAACTTTCTTCACTCCTTTTGTCCGAAATGATTTTCGAAATGACTTCATTAATATGAAAGTATTTGCAGATGCGGTTTCAACATGTTCATTCGAACAAAAATTGATCCACTTTGAAGTAAGTGGCTGAATGAACTTGAGTCTTGATGTGAACTGAACACATTTTAAGAGTGTGAAGCTCGAAACTTTAATCACACAAGGATTAAAATCTCGGTTTGGTAAAAAATTTCAAGAAGAAGTATCTTAACAAGTTCACCGCTAAATGCATTTGTTTTTAATTATACTTATTCGGTTTACTCAGCGCACAAGCATCATCATGTCCTTATGTATAAAAGCTTGTGTTGTACCAAAATCAGATTTGTTCCTTTAACAAAATCCGTTGAATATTTGTATTTTTAGTTGTTCAAACGTCTTAGCATCGTTTTAACTGTGATAACAAGATAGATGAGCATCGCTTTAACGACGTACTCACATTTTCAGAAAAAAAAATCATGCATTCTCAGACGAAAAAGTGCAACCAACGGTTTTTTTTGCGTTATCGAAACCAGACTCTTGAATCTGGTGAATTGATATTCCTGAATGGTTCAATGAAATGTGATTTTCTAGCGAAAAAAACATGACTGAAACATAAGCTCAAAAGATGGTTTGCAACAAGCGTTACCATTTTACGATTAAAAGCATGTTTTTTTCCTAGATTCTCACTCAATTTATTCTTTTGCTTTTGAGACGGTGCATTTTATTTTTCCTCTTCTGTTTACATCCACTACAAATCGTAGTGAAAAGATTGTTTCCATTAGTTTGTTGATTTCATTGGTGGATTGGATTGGGTGCAAGTTCAATTTCGCGAAATAGATCCATTCACGAGTTAGTTCAACTCGTGTATCCTGTGTGAGAGAGTTCAAATAGCTAAGCGAAAAAAAAAATTAGTGACTGACTTGTGACTTCTACATCATCTTTTTACATATTTGCGGTTAAATGGAAGTGTTGAATATTTGATGGTGTCGATAGTGGAAATAGTGGAAAACGTCGGTAAGTTATGTGTGGAAAAATGTGTGTTGAGTTCACACAACCATTGCATGTTTGCCGTATGCATCAATAAAAAGCCAAGCATTGATGCACCAACGAGTGTTCGCAAGCAGAAGCAGCCATATAATTCGATTTAGTTTTCCACGGTTGACGACAGAGAGAAAGAGAGAGAGAGAGAGGGAGGGAGAATGAAAGATGAAGAATGGTGGTGCGGTTGATAGCTTGCACGATAGAATAAACGATTTGCCATTTCGAGCAAATTGAATTTTGTATTGTTGCTCTTGTGCTGATGGAATTTCATTTTTTTGACACACACACACACACACACACACACACACATACGATGAAAATGACATTCAGTCGATGGGTTCCATGATTTACATACCAAAGCAGCTAGGTGACAATCTCCGAAATAAGACTGGTGTATTTTTAAACATTTCTGAATGGTTGCATTGGAGAAAAAAAGCCGAAAAGAGAATTTAATTAGAGATGTGTGGTTTTCGGAGTCATTTTCGGACGCTTCAAATGGAGATGTGGTATGTGTGTGATTTGCATACACGTTGCTCCCATTCACGCTAATCGATTTGGACGTGTGATAAGTGAAACGCGATATCATCACAGCAAGTGAGATGCACGATGAGTTTTGGCCTGTGTGCACTGTACAATGCAGCAGCAGCGTTTGGTGCGGACAATGCATTGATAGCAATCTATTGCCTCCTGAGCATTCCATTCACGGAAAATTGAATTCTCAGAAAATACGTGTAATTGACTTCAATTTGCAGTTCAAATATTGTTAAAAGAGGCAGATGACGACGACGACGACGAGCCATGAAAGCGTAGTGCCTGAAGCCTTGATCAAACAGAAATTCGGATCCGTGTACCTCGGAACGTAACCACTGGAATTGCGAAAATTAAAAAGGAGAACAGGTGTTTTGCTGGTGAAAAGTTTCCAACACTAGCACAATTACAAGCTTCAAGTACTATAAATTTTATCTCTATCGTTTCCACTCGCTCCCGTTCTCGTTGGTAAATTGCTTTTTGGGCATTCGAAAAATGCGGTGCTCATTTCAATGTAAATTGATTTTTGAGACGTCGTCATGCCAAACACATAGTGTGTGTGTGTGTGCGTGTGTGTTCGTCGGTATTTAACAATGTCGAACATTTCGTTGCAAGTTTCCGAATTCGAAGCTCGAGATTGAGTCTGGCTTTGGCCCAGCCGCAAAGATAAATCGGCATTTGAACAATCCAAATGCCGAATACCCCAAGTGTGATTTCTCCGATACAGTTAATTAAATACAAATGGCAACGAATGCTAGCGTCGAAGAGCCTTTGCCCGTCTGAACTTGTTTCGCTCACTTAACGTAAATCAACTGCAATCATGCGATTTAAATGGAGTATCCGCTTTTTAACGACTTCAAATTCGATGTGAGGATGAAACTTTTTCGGACGACAAACGGCAAACTGGATAAACGATGTCATCAAACAAAAGCTGGTCTCACACTGGTAGTGTGTTGCCACCGCGCCGTAATCATCATTCAGTTATGTTTGTATGAAAAATTATTTTCACTTAAATAAATGGATTTTATTTATGCCGTTTGCGCGCTCCACTGCCGACGAAAGCTTAACAACCCCAG